TCGGCCACCTGGACTGCAGAAGGGCCTTGCACTTCGAAGGAGGTGTATAGTATAATGTAGAGTAGAATATAGTAGAATCTATGCATATATCATATATAAAATATACACATTGCTTCCTCCATCATACCCATGTTTCCTTGAAAACTACGGCATTGGCAGTGTTTTGTGTGTTCTAGATGGTACTGCCCTTCAACACCCCCCTGGGGTTTGCAATGCATGACACCAGTGCATGGACTGGTTTCGCTCTTCAACCAGCAAGGTCAGATCGAAAGGAGGCACCGGAAGTGAGGGGACTGCTTCAGGCGCCGAAGCCAAAAGAGAATGCAGAGCATGCAATGTAGACTCTTGATGTATAACCCCTCCATCTGGATTATAAAACCTATAAAACCTCTTCATGTGGATTTATTAATCCTTAGTCTACCATCCATGCATCGATGTGCTGCAAGTTCAGTGAGACTTTGTCAGATTCAGACAGACTTAGATTTAATCTATCAAACAAGAGTGGACAAAGGGAAGCAGGACAGTGAAGAATCTTGAATGGCTTGCCAACGCATTGCCTATGCCAACATGCTTTCCTGTCTCTATGTTGTCTCAACTATTGAGGTTCTTGGACAAGACAGCGAAGACCTTCAGGCGAGCCTTGTGGTGACACGAGATGGAATTTTGAGTGTCTGTGAGTTTGAGATCAGTTGTCACCGGCGGATAAAGCATGTCATGATGGAGTGTCCCACTGCCGACTGCGCAGTTGCAGCATCGAGTGTGGCCGAGAACTGGTCGCCCGACTATGCAGGCCCACGGTCAGTAGTGACAGCTGATTGACTAAACGGGTTTCTGTAGCGAAGCTACAAGCCGTCACGGTTTGCTTCCCTGTCAAGTGTTTTGAGCCTCAACTGTAAGTTGTCACCAAAGTGAAGGACATACGCATCATGCGGCACACACACACAAGGTCCATCAAGGGCTAGTTGAATCTCTCACACGATCTTCATATAGAGAAGGACATGTGACATTTATGAAACGTCTCTGATGGAAGCACACCTCATCAAACCATGTGAAGTTTTTACAGGCAGTGGTGGTCGAAGAGAATCCTCTTTCAAACAAGATCGTCGAGACTCTCAGGTATTAGGCGCGCGCGCACGACATGACATGACGCATGGCACGCATCCTAAAACGGATTGTTTTCAAAACCTCCTGGTAGAAAAAATGATCAAGAAGTGTCTCCTCTTCTCCTTCTTGTCCTCCTCTCTTCCTTCACACCCTCCCACCTTCCAAACGCTTATTCCATCTTATTCCAATTTGCTGGACTTCTTGGTTCTTGATCCGAAGGTTGATTCTGTAGAGTTTGCTGCCACCCTGCGTGTGTCTATGGCCAAACCAACAGTGCTGGCAGCCTTGTTAGGTGAATTTCGAGATATCTATGCTCGCAGGGAGTCTCAAATGTCTCAAGGATCTGGCCGAGGGCTTAGACTTCAGCAAGTTCTGTCAACTAAGGAATGCGCAAGGCAATGCAAGGCATATATAGAACTTTAGCAAATGTTTTTTTTTTTTTGTATTTTGAAGATGTTCCAATTTTAGATCTTTCGTGGTCCACTCTTGAAGACGAGTCACAGTCTTAGTATGTTTTTAGTCTTGAATCGTTTTGTTTGCCGAGAAGCGTTTCCTTACCGGTTGGCTCCGGTTGAGGAGTTGGTAGCATGGGTCTCGGCTCTCTGCCTTTGAGTTCTGCATCGGCCACCTGGACTGCAGAAGGGCCAGAAGGAGGTGTATCAACCTTGGAACTGGTTGACATAATTACGTTTGATATACTATGGCTATATGCAAGACACACATACACACATATAAACACAATAGTAGACACAATATACTAAGCGGTCGGCGCACATTTAAGTATGATTTCGTTGGCACCTCCCCTTCTGGGAGCACACCAGGCCGGTTATCCCCATTGCTCGGAACCATCCAGGGTATGGACATGCAAAGTATGAGGATTGGACCACATTGGACCCAATATATGCCTTGAATCGGCCCCCACATTCCTATCACACATGTTTTGCCTGCAAAAACCCTGTGCTGTTTTGAGATTTTGGACCCAATATGTGCATTCCCATCGGCTCATCTCATCAAAAATGACCGACCCAAACGACCGACCGACAGGCCGCGTACCTGGCCGTCCCCGGGCCGCGCAAGAGCCAGCGGAGTCCGTCGGGCGTGTTCTCCGCGTCGGGATCGGAGTTCAGCTCCTCGGCTGCGTCGGAAAACGGAGGGGCGAAACGGAGTTCAGCCCGACGCGACGAGCATGATGGATGATATGGATGTGCCGCATTTTGGAAAACAACTGTGCTGTGAACACTCAAGAACTGATCCAACTGATTATACTTCATAATTTGTCATTTTTTTGGGCCGATTAATTTTCCATCTCGTTCTGGAGCTTTGGGATCGAATTGCCAAGAGCAAATGCTTTGTACGATTTTGTACGGACGTAGATAGAATTCGGAGACTTCTCATGTTTGTTGCTTTTGTAGGATTGTCTATCCCGGATGCTTAACGACATTGTGATACCCCTTACGACCGTTGACGATCTTGCGACCTCCGGACCTCCCTCACGCATGGTCTCTGACCGATCCGAGTTCGTCCTTGCAGGCTTCACTTCCAGTGCCAGTCCCAAGAGGTCGAACCGCCGGGATTTGTCACAACACCTACTGTACCGAGAGCGTCATCCGGGGGGGTCATCCGCCCCCGCGTTTCACCGGTTCCCGGTGGGTCTGGAGAACGACCCCATCAAGAGCGAACGTCGATTTGTGGTGAGTGCTAGTGCTGTTCTGGACAGTGCCGGGAGATTTGGAGTGCAGATCTGTCCAGAACTTTTCAAACATCGGTTCCTAAAGTACAGACCGATTGTAGCGTAGCAGACCACTGGTTCCGCCAGGATGGCTGGCGAGTTTGAGCGCTTGATCCCCAAAGGAACTCCCAGCAAGGCCAGGAGCTGAGTGAACTTAAAACGTCCATCAACTCTTCAAGTCATTCAGCTCATATCTTCGCACATCTTCCAATCGTATCTTTGCAGCAAAGTGGACACGGTAAGCAGAAGAACACATTGATTTCAACCCTTTTGTTTCACCGTCGCATGTGTCCTTTAGGACTCGCCTTCACCCTATACAAGCCCCTTCACGTCGCAGCAATCCAGTCCTAGACGTAGCGTTCTTTGGCTGCAAATAGGTGTCGTTGAGGAAAAACAACTGACATTTGTGACGGCCATGAGCCAAATGATGTCAACATGATGTCAACATGATAATTTGTTTTGACTTTTTTTGTGTGAAGTGGTTTGGCAATAGTGATAAGCAAGCTATGTTTTGTGTGTTTGTGTAGCTGGCTACCAGCATCAAGTATGTGATATTTGTTGAAAACTGATGAAGAGTTCTGGCAGCAGCTACAAGCATCGAAGGAATCATAATGATTATATATTATATATAAATTATGAAGCATGTATTGTATTATATCCTTTTCGCTTGAGGCTGCAACCTCCAGTGACAAAGAATTTGGGCCAGCAATTGAGAAGCACAAAAATGCCCATCTGGAGCATCTTCGCTGTCTTTTTTGATCTTTTTTGAGTCGCGCTTTCTCCCTGCCCTAGAGTTGCTCAGGATCGTTCTGCTGCGTCCTCCACCTCAAGACGAGGACCGGAGAGACGTTGTTCATGCCAAAAGCCACCGCTGAACCGCCTGAACCGCCTTCCGCATCAATGGTTTGCTGTCAGGATCGCGGAGAAAGTCCACATTGAAGCGGGCTGGCAGCAACTTGCTGAAGGACGGCGAAAGATGTATATATCAATCATATAGAAGAAGTGCACCGTATGTATTATACATATAGAAGATATGTCAACTTTATATTAATACAGGAATGCGTATCATATGCGTATAGACGATCAGACCTATCATGGACAAGCCGAGTACAACTTTCAGTTTCTTGTTGACTGCAAAGCTGCGGGTGATTCAAAGCAGGACTCAATCTGGACAAAGTAACAAACTGGACTAACGGAGATGTCCACCGACCATGATTTGAGCCTTTTGCTTTTGACTTTGAATAACAAGTGTGTCATGTTTCAGCATGTCAAGTAGCCAAGTTGCCAAGCGTAGTGGTCACCGCAGCCCTGGGCGGCGAGAGGACGACAAATAACACAAGCTGAGAGAGTTTCCTAGCAATGCTTGGCATGTCATCCTTTGAATAACAGCAACACACTAACAAAGTGTTTACTCACAGAATCCCCAAAAGGGTAGTACTAGGCATTGTCACTTTGTTTCGCAATCATAGCCAATGATACCATCCTCTAATTCGCTTTTTACGGCGCAGTGGCGCACTGCGAAGCAGCGTGTGGCGCCCCGGCGATGCTTGCACAATTCACCCGATCGACGGACGTCGATCTGCACGAGTCGCGTCACCCGGAGCAACGGTGACGTGAAGCTGTATAGACAGGGTGGCTTGAAATAGGGAGGCCCCCAGGCAGATTCTAAAACGAAGCAATCCAAACATATCCAAACTGGTTGTGATGTCTTCCCATCTCATCCCATCTCAACGCACCCTAAATTAATCAGCTTTCTGTTGGGCATGTTGTGACAACTGCCCCATTCTCGCATGCATCAAATCCAGTGAAGTCGTGCCGTTCCTCAAACGAGTCGATCTGGCATCTCTTGTGGCATTTTGAAGGGATGAAGGAAAAAACATGTGGAGGGTGTGAGAGGATGCAGCATTGCATCAGGGGGGAGGGTGGGGATTGGAGATATTTGACATAGTTGTCCCAGCTTCCGGGAAAGCTCAAGAAGAGTGGACCATCCTAAGTCACATCGATCATAGTGCGCAACACGTACAGTACAGGAATGTACAGGATGTACAATAGTATCAATCAAGAGTAATTATAGTACAATATAGTACGGTCATAGTATAGTACACATCAATATCATCCATCAAGCCCAAACTCCTGATGGACCCCACATGACCCCACAAGTGCCCAGGCTCTACTTCGATCGGCCAAAGCTGAGATGCCGAGTCGGAGGTGTCGCCGTCGGGTTTTTAACGGCGACGGTTCGAGGTCCGGATCGGATTGGACGACATGGCTTGGTTTGGGGTCCGGGTCCTCATGTTTTGTATGGTTTTGGTGCGTCCTTCGGAATCCTTTTTTGGGCTTGGTCAGGAGAACCAGAGATGTGGAAGGAACCAAGCAAGGAGCGACAAAGTCGAGCGAATTTGCCGCAAGATTGCAGTGGTGCCACTTGTGTGTGCATTTTTGTCCATTCTTGACACAAGGCTCTTGCCTTTTCAGCATTCTCAGCTCAGTTTGCTTTGGGAAGTTGTCCAGGAGGAGCTTGCAGCTGCAGCTGCGGAAATGGACGAGATGGTCCCAGCCTGAGTGTTTTGAGAGCCTGGTGGCTAGCTTTGGCCTGTGCAAGCTTTGAAGTCCTCCTGATCACCGTTGTCATGCCACTCCCTGCGGATGGCACAGTGTGATACATATGCTATGCGTGAGACGTGATTGAGTAATATCATGAATCCTGGATAATATGAACGGTCTGTGGATGGCAGAGTTTGTAGCTTCTCTTTGTTGGCCCGTGGTCTATTCTATTCATGTTCACTTCAACCGAGGCACCTTTCAGGAACACTGTGGGATTCCTGGGGCTCCTGCTTCTTGGGAAGGCCATGTTTCGGTCCACACCGTGTTGGACGCCACACACGGGCCACACGCTCGCTGCGCACACACCGCTCGGACTGCCACAGGCGCTGCCGGACGCCGTCTTTGCCGTGCTGCGGAACTGGGCGGGCATCCGTGGTGCCGAGCAGCTCGGGCGAGAAGAAGCGGCGGTTGGTGGGCAGTTGGAGCAGGATGTTGCGTGCCTGGAAGCAGGTTGAACACTAAGAGGAAAAGGTTCTTGATAGGGACGTTGTTGGAGAATTGCCCAGGAAGTTGGACTATGCCATGCTGGGCGCAGATGTATCTTACCTGCAATGAAGCTCTATATACATTCTATCCAGTTTATTCATATCGTATCGTATCGTATCGTATGTGTTACCTTGGCAAGACGAAGTCAGTCGTTCTCTTCGATTGAATTGGACCTGAGGCCCTCTTCTCCGCTGTAGGCAGGATCAGCTCTCCGTGGCCATTGCCATGTCGGCACAGCATGACACGGAGACTTCTTCAGATATAATGCCATCATATGCAAACCTTAGTTTGCTGAGAAAACCTGTCAGGTCAGGCGATTCTGTTCCCACTAGCCAGTCAGACGTTGAATAGATTGGGCCACCTGTCCTATGACACCGGGCTCAAGGAGTCTTCGGGATTGAATGATCGATAGGCATTGGCCTGCTCTACACTGCCATCGTGCTGATGGCTCCTGGTGTCCCTGACATCCCGCAAGTGACAAAAGACTTTCAAGAGCGGTAGGACATTTGAGCTCATTCTGTCTAAACCATTCAAAAACCGCATGAAGGGCATGAAGTGTATATACTAACTTCCGCTGAACTGGAAGCATTTGAAGTGCCTTTGATGGCCAAGATGAAAGCCTGGTGCTGGCTGCCACTGGCGTTGCATCGACTCACCCACTGGCGTTGTGAAAGAGGAACGTTGGCGTCGCATGCCGAGCAGTGCCAGCCCATGGGCTGGCACGGCACGCCTTCGCATCGACGTCACAGCCGCAGAATCGATGTCGACGTCACTTTCTTTTGCGGCTCATCTTGCCAATATCTCGTTGGACATGACTCAATGAACAGAGGCGATGAGGTGATGCTCATCACAGAGCCACAGAGCCACAGAGCTGCGAAACCGTTGAGTGAGATTGCTGCTCCGCAGGATTTTGGTTCGAAGGTCTTGCGAAAGTGGGGCCATCATGGTGGGAAGGGCGGTCCCTTGGGAAACGCCGGTTTCTCGTGATGGGCCTCATGGGCCTCTGGAAATTGGCACAACTTGGCAGGTTGTGTCAAATTCAACACTTGCGACGAAGGCTTGTTCGGTGATGAAGAAGCCGCCAAAGGACCGGCGGAAGGGTGAGAGCTCTACTTGGCCCCTCAAAGAGGTTACCAAGTGTGGGGCTCTTCGTCACAGAAACGAAGCAGAAGGAATTCCACTGGGGGTTCCAGAAACGAAGCACCGCCCTCCAGGATTTGCGCAAGTGGTTGGGGCAGCTGGTCACAGTTGTGGAGAAGAACTCTCATGGACAGGTCAGGTGCAAGCTGAAGTCCGACCTCGACCGAAAGGACGCGATTTGGCTCGTGCCGGGTGCTTTGACGGCCACCATCACGACCGAGAAGGACGGCCGTTCAAGGGCTTGACCAGGGCACATGTGCTGCATGACCTGATAGGGTGAAGATGTATTAAGATGTATTAAGTAATATTAAATATATGGATGTATATGGGATATCTTAATTATCCTCACGGGGTTGAGGGGTGTCCTTCTAAGAGAACCTATAGTATTATACAGTAAGTGGAGTTGCAACCCTGTCTGTGCGGATCTATTTTGGCGTGGTGTCAGAATCCCTGTGCGAGCAAGTGGCTTTCGACTGCAGTATGCGTGTCCGTATTGTTGCATGATAGGCAACTCCACCTAGAATATGCACAGGAGCTAGTCCGTGCGATCTTGGGTGGCATCTACAACTCGGTTGCGCAGCGCTCTGAGAAAATGACACAGGTGGAGCTCCATGTCCTTTGCAAGGAAGGCTCAGAAGTCTCAGGTTTCTTGGCAGCGGAATCAACGATCACAGGGAAGCATTGCAGAGAGTGTTTGGTTTGTGATTGTCCACCTTGTGGATGAGACAAGAAAAGGGATGGTTTGAGCAAGATGGGATCAGTGAGCAAGATGGGACGGACTTCCTCCCTCACCACCCTTTTCGGTCCCTCGCCAGGTTCAAAGCTCCAGTGCGTGCATGGAGATGAGGTGATGCAGCTTCGAGCAACGTCGGAGGGACATTTTCATGGGCTCTTAGAGGTGCACACTGAATCGAAGGAGATTCCTTTGAATCTTGGAGGGGAGTTGGAGTGTTTGCGATGAACAGGGCTGCAATGTGGACTATATTCCTTGGTGACATTCGCTGGCCAGCGGGTCAGGTGCAAGATGCCTTTGATTCGGGACGTGCGACGAGAACTGTTGTGCCTGAGTCATGTCATTGCGCCATGTAGCACAAGACTGCAAAGTCATTGGGCCAGCTCTGGCCCTCACCGTTTTTCCAGGAGGGACCTTGTTTATCCTTACTTTTTTATACTTGCTTTTTTGATAATCTTTTACACGGAGATGTTTTCATGTGTTCCGAATATTATGTCAGTGGAGCTCTTTTGAAGCACTTTGGTGATCGATGCCTTGGCCACTAAAGCGCTTGGCCACTTGAGTTTCTTGGAACTGTTTCTACTGAACGCATGAAGCTGGGAAATGAAGCCAAGGGTCCAAGGGTTCGGGTGTGGTGTAGTTTTGCTGATTGTGGGCTGAAAAGTTCCAAATAGCACAGATGAGTCCAGGCCCGCAATGAACTTTTACATACTTTTACTAACATGGCTAACTGGACGTAAAACTTCGATACAAGGTACCCTTGGACAAGTCCTCTATGAGGATGGCCACCTTCGAGGTTTTATGCACAAAGAAGGAGTTGTGTTTGGCAAGTGCCGGGCGCCCTACTTTCTGGGTTCCTCAGGAAGTTCGTCTTGCACAACGAGTCTAAGATGGACATGCTCTTGAGCTTCGTTGGAGCCAACGCAGAGAGCAAGCAGAAGGAGTTGCGACTCCCCTGGCCGCTCGGTGAGGTCTCCAGTGGAAGACAGCCATTTCTGCAAAAGCCGGAACAGGTCAAACCTTCAGGGGGACCAACATGAAAATGAGTCTTAGAGTCTTAGAGTCTTAGAGTCTAGTCTCTAAAATGAAAGTGCAGAGTCTTAGAGTTTAGGCTTAGCATTTTTGTAAATGTCCGTTCCTCGTGGTCACGTGTTGATCAGCTCTTTCAAGGGATTTTAGATTTTGATGATTTTTGATATTCCCAAATGCTTTGATAGAACACGTTGCACCATCACTTGCTTGGACGAGCTGCTTTGCTGCTGCTAAGAGCCTCCGATTGGCCAGGAAGTCGGGTTCCAAGCACACGTTTTGCGAGTTGGCCTTCAAGAAGAAGGAGATCACCTCGAAGGTGAAGCACACTCGCACTAGGGAGGGGTACGTTGCCGAACCTCGGGCGGCCGAACAGGACGGCGAGGAAGGATGAACGGCGGTTCAGCAGGCACCGGAGCCTGTATAAAAACCAGAATAGTTGAATGGTTGACCTGGTTTTGTACTGTAGTGTCAAATCCTTGGTAAAGAAACATGGCAAAACAACGGTTCTACGTCACTTTCTTGGGTAACGACCATGAAATCAATGGTTGGGACCAAATCGAACAGAGCCAGGACTCAGAACGGGATGTGTCGCAGTCCAAGTCGGTGCATCGGATGTTTTGTGACCCCCAGCCCCCTCAAGCTTTGCTATTAGGGGGGGTCACAAAAGTTCCATTCGACCTTTATTGGGGACGGGGGCTCCATGACGAGAGGTCAAGACGAGGGTTCTCTTTATGAGAGGCCCCAAAGACGTCTTCATGAGGAGGGATGCCCAAGACAGTCTTTTTATGAGAATCCTTGGGAATGCAGTGGTTTTTAGTTTTGTCAATTATTGGAGTTATGAGCCCCCCACGCATGGAAGTTCAACCATGTCTGAGGTACCATAAACTAGACGAAAACATGTCCCCAAAACCAGCCGGGGTTCGGTCTCTGCGAAACCATTCATTGGACCTTTCTGCAAAGCCGAAATCGCATCGGTGAATTCAGTGAGCCGAAGCGAAGCGACGAAACCCACATTCGGCTCCACTGTCAATCGCAACAGCACCTGGGCAATGGCCATCACGAAGTGGATAGATCGAGCATCATAGAGCCAGACGGGCCCTTGGTTTATCATGGTTTATGGCAGGCAGATGAATGCATCCTTAGAACATATTGGAAGATGTTTGAAAGATGTTTGCTTTCGACCACCCCGGTATCAGCACGGCAGACATGGCTTTCTCAAGCATGTAAGGACTTGTCAGAAGTTGGTAAGGTTTGGGCAAATCAGTGAGTTTGTTTTCAACAAGCGAGAGAGTCACAAGGGTATGCCGTCATCCCAGAGGGGTAGAAACAAGGCAATACTTTACACCGGCCATCAGATCATCTATCAAATGCATTCTGCCTGCAACACGCCGAGTTGGTCCATTCTCTCCAGAAGTAGCGACAGCTGTTTTTTTCCTGTGTCTCTGCGTTCGCCAATCTGAGGCAGAGTTCTGGGGCGAATTCCTTTGCGCTTTTCATCGAGACATCGCCCAGTGCGACTCTGCAGGACACTGCGAGAGACAGACTGTGTCCCGTTGTCCGGAAAAGTGGGTGAGGAAAAAGTGGGAGGAAAGGAAAAGGACATGACAGAATGGTAGACCCTTCAGGTTTAAGATGGTTTGAGATGGTTTGATGATCACTTGTCAATGACTGATCGGAAGGGCAATTCAGGCGGAATATGTCTGAATCAGAGACAGCATGTGGAGCTCTAATGGCCCCATGTTGAGTTCACCATGTTTCACAGAAGAGGTTGTTATTGGTTAAGCAGGAGCTGGGAAGCCAGCTACATTGCTATTCCTGCCTCACTGGCATTTGATGTTTTTGTATATACTCCTGACTCATGGGTTATATATTTGATACATTCTTGATAAATCTTTAAACACTAATCAACTCTTGGGTTTAATGACTTGTACCAGAGCAAGTGAACCTTCACCAAAACCGCGTCAAGTTCCCGGCTTTGAGAGTCTGGTTTGTCGCGGTCGTCAGACGACCGGACAGTGTCCGGATGGGATGCCTAACTGGTCGTCCAAACCGTTGAACCAGACCAGGAACCCTGCCTTCCCAATGGGAGGCGAGGCGAACAACAGTTGGACAGTTGCTACAAACTGACCAACTCGCGACAGGACTGCCTGAGGCGAGCGGCACAGAGAAACTCTTCGCAGCGTTGGAAGCGCTTTCTGCTCTCACGTGTGAGCTACACAACCCACCCGAGTTGGGTGCATACCTGAATCTGTTCCTGGGCCTATGCGACTGTTGCACGGTGGTCAGAGACTCAATGAACGGTGGCTTTAGTCTTGTAGTACTTTGTTGGGGGTTAGTATGATGACAGTGATGAAAGCATAGATGACTGCAGGTCGTATGATTCATAGGAGACACTGATTAGTAAAACATAACAGGGAGCATCTCATATCAGCATGGACTGCAGGGTCGTTTTTCGGACTGCTGATCCACTGGTCGAACCATGGCCGGGGCAAAACGAGATCCCACCATGTACGTAGCGCTTTCTGGGAACTGACCTGCCTGAAGGGGATTTGATCGGCTTAGGGGGCACAAAGAGGACATGATTTGGACCTTCCAATTGAAGTTTCTTGAAGCGTACTGTAACAGCTAGACACTGAATGGCAAACATGTGTATGTCGCATCTATCCTCTATACTCAAAGCGGTTCGCACGAGTTTCTATGCAGTTCTCCACTGAGATCACACCACAGAGCGCATCGAGGCAGGTACGTTGAATAGGGGTCCTGAAAAAAGATCTTGGTGGTGGTTCTTTTGTGTGTCCTCTCTCTGCCTCTCTCTCTCTCTCTCTCTTTATGCTTTTGCTGCAACATTCAATGAACGTATGAAGGAACATTGCAGCGAAATACGACCACCCTCACTGACCAACGGGCGAATCCGTGGAAGAGACCGATCTGCCATGGACCCACCCTCATCCCCTGCCGTGCCCGATCCAGCCCATTCAGACGATGGGCTGGAAGCGAGGGACAGGTCCTTAGGTAGCAAAATTCCTTGTAGGAAGGACCTTTCTGTAAGTTCCATCCAGTTCCTCCCTCGTCGCTCTTCAAGAATCCATCACGAGACTTTCGAAGTCTTTCGACGTGAGCCGGAACTAAAGAGGCACATCAGGGAGTTCCGCTTCACGTGGGAAGAGAATCGACAAGAGAAGCTATTCATTTGGGGAAGACCTACGGATCGCCACACCTCCTCCTCTGATCTATTCCCATATCATCCCATCGAGCAAGCCATGGTTTCTTCATTAGGCTTCTACCAGCTGTGTCGTCTTTTACAGAAGGCTCTACTTAATGTGCTGGGTGATTTCCGACTTGGAAATTGGTCAAGTGTTCACTGCTCCAAGGCTGGATCGTCCGATGACACCGGCACAGGGCCTTTTCGCCTGCTACATGCTCGGGCGGCTACTGGGCCCTCCGGGGAAAGGGGAGTTCTTCCCAGGCAGGGAGATGTCCAGTGACGCTTGCTGATAGGCCGATGCTGCTGGGACTGCCTGCTGTTTATACACCAGGAAGCATGTGCTTAGCAGCTAGATTCCATAGATTCCGGCGATAGATTTGAACCTCCAATGAGTGCGAAGCTTTGCAGGTTGCTTGGTGCTGGTCGAGCGGAGGAGTGTGGGAGAACTCCTTTGCCTGAGAATAGTCGTTCCATCACTATTGCTTTCAGCAAGGTTTATTAGTAGAGCTGAAAAGGTGGTGCTGGAGAGCTAAGAACGAAGTGGTGTCAATACTGAGCCTCAAGTTCTGCACTGGCTGGCTCATCAGTGACAACGTGACATCGTCACGTGTGGTGTCGCCAGGGCCGTGTTTCACAGCTGGTGTTCCCGATCTCGGGTCCTGGTAGCATCTGACACCATGCGAAATCCGTGCGATCGCAGGACTGGCAGCAGCAGCAAGAGGTCTAAAACCATTGAGGTGATCTACGAAGTTGTGGAGGCCCGAGAGTAAGTTTTTTTTTTTTTTTTTTTTCCCGGGGGAATCGTGATGTATGTTTTCTTTTTTCGGCATTGCCTCTAAGTCATCCTAGCATGGTGATCCACGATCACCAAGGTCATCAGCCAGGGGATTTCAGATTCAAGCAGACGACAGAAGGGTGGCAAAAGTATGCAAAAGTACAAAACATGAGCTTTGTAGGGTTATGAGGGCCACCCATTTAGGAGGGACTCCACCTCTTGCCGCTCAGGAGCGAGGACAGAAGCTCCGAGTCAGACTGCCGGGCACAGACATCGTGGCGACCTGTTTGGAATCGCCGAAGTTCAGACGTGGGACTTGTGAAATGTCGACAGCCCGATTTGAGAAAAACAAAGAAAAACACCTGGCGGTTGAACAAAAGATCTGGAGATCAGAAAATGAAAGAGATGTGAAGATAGATAGGGAATTTCCATGCACTTCCTATTTTTCCATCTTCTGATCTCCACATCTTTTCCTTAATTGGTCGAAACGGACCCAGTCGTTTGGCAACGACCTGATCTCGGTCCGTTCGGTCGGATAACGTCGTTGCATCTGAGGGCGGTGCATGCAAGAGAGACTTTCTCCAAGAGACCATGCGAATGACTCTCGCTAAGGAAGATGCTGATATGAACAAAACCAAGCGATTCTTCAAGATGAAGGACTCCAAGGACTCCAAGGTCCACGTTCTCGATGCCATCGCCACATCCTCCTTGGAGGGGGCAGAGCTTGAGATGCTGCTCAGCGACGACACTTGGCAGGATGAATAGAACTGGAAATGCGACAAATGCTGTTGGCAACACCTGGAATTTTAGGGATCTTGGGCACAAAACCAAGCCAAGAGATGCTTTCTTCTTTGGGGAGTTGTTTGTCAACACAGTTTGTTTACTCGACACAGGGAAGGTGGCCCGGCCACTAAGCTCGACATTGATGCTCCGCTCAGGATTTGCACCTGATGAGGGACGGCCTACACGCTCTGATGAGTCGAGATGCATCACAAGGTGGTGCTCGTTGGATCAGAGCCTTGAGGCAGCGGAGTGCGCAAGCGCATGCACAAGCCCCTGCTTGCGCGTGCTGCCGGCCGTGGATGTGGGGTTCCAAAGAGAGACCATGAAAGAAGGTGGGTTTCTACTTGGATTCCAAGTGTCTGAAGATCAAAGCCACAGTTCAGCAGAGGATTGGAGACACATACGGCTTCATTGATTTTCGAGACCATTTAAATCAGTGAACTTCGAGAGATATTTGGATGATTTAGGACATTTTAGGACGCAGAGGAACGCGGTGCTTGCCTGTAGAGAGGAAGTCCAGTTGTTGCTTGTCCCATAAGCGTCAGGGTTTGGTGCTCGACCGCGCCAGGCGTATAGCAATCTCCCACGCACGGGATGCGGCCAGGTTTTTGGAGAACATGAGCTTTGAACTAGGTGGGGGGGCGGTCTCGGGGGTCATGGACAAGAGGTTGGTCTACAGGGGTGCAAGCACTCCAGGATGGAAACATCGTCAGTTATGGTAGTTACTAACCCATGACATGCCTTGTTTGTTTCTTCAAGGACACTCCCAAGAGCTTAGTTAGGAGGAATTTTGTACAGTAGATCTTGTGGTTGATCTTGCAGTTTTGCAGACTTGATTTTGCGGTCTTGACACCATACAACCTGTGGATGGATTCGGTGGCATTTTTTTCTGTTTTTTTTTCCGGTCTGCAGGGTAGCCATGATCCATGATTCATGCAGAGAGCAGCCTAGCGCATTCGTCCTCTTCTTTTCGCTTTCTTGTGCGATCGCCGTCGAAGCGAATCCGCTGGGTTCGATTGGCGTGTTCTTCACCCCGGCCGACTGGGCGATCGGACCGCACTGATCGAACCTGACACATTCGGCTGTCATGCTAAAGAAGTCGACCAGACACATCACATGTGGGTGCATCGTTTTTTTGAGGTGAACGTTTACAGACGACCTTGTTGCGCAAGCAAGGGTCCATGTTCTTTTTTCTCACCTTTGGGCTTTGCTTGGGATTGGAGATTCGCGAAATCTGGCATAGAGACCCACTGGACAAGGTCTTGATTCACCATATTTACCTCTGACTAGCATACCCGAATCGCAGCTTGCAAATGAATTTCTTTTCTGATGAGCCGGTGATTTGACAGACTGATCGACATTTGCATTCATTTGCCCGAAGAAAGACGCCCAAAGTTCACAGGTCGGAGGAAGGAGACCCCAAAGGAGCTCGCGTTTGAGTTGAAGGATATGGATGGAGATGTCTTTTCTGACGAGACGTTGCAAGAGGCCTTCTTCAAGGTGGGCGCCTTGATTTGAGCGCACATTGCACGAGGGAACGTCTCCAAATGGGGAGTGAGATCCACCAAAATTGGCCTTTGGCCAAAGGGAAATTCAACTATAAACTTGTTGGAGGTTCTCATTTCGAGACGCATTCATTTGGAATCAATCTTGTCTATTTTAGACTAAGAAGGCCAAGAGCTTTACATAGCTTTACACACACTTCTCCAGGGCTGATGCTTGGTTTCCGTTTAGTTTCTCAAAAGAGTACACAGCTGCCTGGCTTCTCAGCCCCCCCCATCCACTGGGTCAATTCATCTGACTACGCTTGGGTTCCGACACGTCGAGGTTTTGACATCTGACTACACTTTGTCAATCCCAGACACTCCATGGGACTGCCATATATGCCTATACATTGACCCCCAAAACCACCCCAATGTAGGCATATGTAGGCATATATGGCATACATGGAGTGTCTGGGAATCTTTTGCATTGATTTCGGTTCTCTCCGATGGTTCTCCCCCATTGCTCCTTCATGTCCAGGTCCTCCTGGGCTCCAACTTTTCAATGGACGACCTGCGGACAGTCCTGATGGCAGCGCAGCAGGGCGCTACGAGGTGCCTGGGCCTAAACGAACGTCGCTGCCCAAACGAAAGTCTGACCTCTAAAAGACTGTTCTGAACGCATGGAGTTCAGATTGACCATCTTTGTTGGGGTTGAAATCTCAATGTCCAAGAATCGACTTGAAGGATGTTGCGGCATTTATGGCAGGTTATGGTAGGTTCACTTGTTGATACTTGATACTTGTTGTCTATGATCTTATATGTCCCCCTCAATCATCGTGGACTTGTCTTTCAGCATTGGTCCCCTTTCTTTGGGGCGATTCTTTCCACTACGTGGGTGACCTGGAGTGAGCTTCTTATTGGTGCTTCTAAATCGGCATAGAATTGAGTTCCAACAAGATGACCACATGTTTGATGATGTTTGCACTCCAAAAGCAATGTTGGAAGACTGAACAAAAACATCAAACACCTTACCACCTGGTGGCATGCGGAGCCTTCCGAGCATCATCTTCACACCCTGTTCGGACGGAGAGACACACCGCATCGGACCACTGGTCGTGGCAGGACGAAAACAGAAGTCGTGGCAGGTTGGTTTGGAATGGGTCAGCAAGAAGGTACAAAGGCGCGGGATCCACGGAGAAGCTGGATCATGTTGATGAAAGAGTGCAGACGCTTGCACCTACTTTGGATCAGGGTAGAGCAGGGTCAGTCCAAGTGTCACCAGGCCTTTCTTGAGATGAAGGGTTGGACCTACTTTGGACATCCTTTGGATAAGGGTAGAGCAAGACATGTCTTTTGCATCTCAAGGTTTGCCAGGCCCGGACTGTATTCTGTCTGTGGACAGGAATTGAACATGGAGAGATGTGTTACAACTCAGTTTTTCCTCTACTACAACAGTTTCTGTTGGTGGTCCAGAATTTCGCTGAAAGCACATGATCAAGACCGAACCGCGGTGGTGCAGGCTTTGGTTCATCAAATCTTGGGAAGTTTGGCGTTCGAGAATTACCGCCTTCGAGTGATTATGAGCTGCAAGAATAGAGTCTTGGCTGTGTGTCAAATCTGATGGCTGTGTCTAAGGAACATGTGCACATGAACCCAGGTCAGTAGTTGTTTCATGTTATTTCTATCAGATCGATATGTTCCTTTTTCTGGGGTCCTTACCTTCTTTCACCACAGCCCTGCGATAGCTTGGTGCACTTTTGAATGTTCCTCCTTTCTCAGGCAAGGACCCCATGGGTCTGGCTAAGACCTGCGAGAGCTTCCAACAATGTGGAGAGCTGCGTCTCGAGCTGCTGGCGCTTTGGGAGAAGATCTTTGTGAGCTGGGTCGAGGGAGGGGCTTGGATCACAAAGGTGCCTGAGACTGCTGAAGGCCTGGCAAGGCTCTTAAAGCTGGAGGATGAGACGATTCTAGAGCTGCTGATGAAGATCATGAAGTTCATGTTGGAGATTTGTGTCTCAAAGGCAGGGCATCACCACATCCAAGGAGGGCCGGCTGGGCATTTGATATACTCCTGAGAGCTTCCTCATTTTCCTTTTCCTTTGAACATCTGGTATTGCTGGCATCGTGGGTAGATAGCCTGCGTTTAATTTGGAATGTAGATCGCACTTTTATATGTGACAGCAGACTGCGACTGCATCGTGTTCTTGTAGACCTTCAGTCAGTGATGTAGATAGATAGCACACATCCCTCGTAAAACAGATGTCTCCAGTGTCGACTATAGTCTGTAGAATTGAATAGAACGACACCAGCAATGGCCTCCACCCTACAAAAGATACAAAAGCGATGGCCTCCAATGTAATGGCGATGGCCTCCAATGTACATATCGACTCTGTCTCCAGTGGGTCCGACTCAGTCTCGGTTGCTGCCGGTCTCTCGACTGCAGGCCTTTGGAGAGCTGCCGACGCTGGTGAAGCGGGTGGCGCCGTTCCTGCACAAGCTCAAAGACCAGGAGGCAGTGTCAGACCAGGAGACTCTGTGTGGTTCAAGAGAATCCCCTGGCCCAAAGGTTTTTTGGCCATATTTCCTCATGCCATAGCTCTTCGGGGGTCCCCTTATTGGAATGGTTCCAAAGAACACCCCCACTGAGGGAAGACATTTGGTGTGTCTTGTGTCTTCTGGCAGTCTGGGAATTGCACGGATTGGCCGTGAGTGACAAAGTGCAGCCAGACTCTGAAGTTGTTCCCAGAAATCGTGCAGAGAAGATTCTACTGGCTTGTCTTACTGCTGTAAATCACGTTTTTCGTATGTTTGGAATTGTTTGGATTCTTTAGTTTTGCTTAGTAGTGCACAGAAGTTTTTTTGCAAACACCTATTCTACAAACATTGTGCAAGGTCCAGGACACTCGTTTAACCCGGGGCTATTCGTGGACGTTTCGTGGAATGGTGGCCAGTAGGAAAACGGACTGCAACAAAAACCCACAAACCTTCGCAGAACTTTGTGGAAGGTATTTGTGATGAACTGACTAACTTTGTATAAGTATATATAAGCCATTTTGCTGGCCCCTTTCTCCACACATCCTCCGTTTAGCCTTCATAAATTCTATCCATGTTGGTGTTGTCCAACATTAGTGAGATCAAATTTTGAAACGGCATCCAATGCCCCTTCGATCAGTCGATTTCTTTTGTTGGTGTGCGCGGGCTGTGTGGGTGGGGGCTATAGTTTTTTGGAAAGCGCATCAAACACTCAAGATTCTGCAACTTCTCCTTTAGAAAAGCTTATGACGGAGTCCTTTGTGAGAAGGTGCAACCGCTGACCTGATTTGGGATTTTGGAGATACACAGACGACTGATGAGTTGCAGGAGAGCTTCTGGGGGAGGAGGACAGTCTTTTTGGTCAGAATCGCATCCCTTCTCAAGGCATTAGTAGGAGGTTGATGTGTAATGAGTGGGAGAAAGGGGTGCGAACCTGACTCGGGCCCCACCTAAAGGACCTGACTTAGGTTTCAAAGTCATCACATGAAGGACGTGCAAAAAGCATCAAAAAGCTGTTCGGAAGGTGATGGAGCTTGTGTCCTCCTACATCACGAGACATGGATCTTTGGTCAACTTTGGAGCTGGCAGCAAGGAAGTCAAGAGACTTGACAGCAATGAGGAATCTGAAGAGTAAACAGTGGCATGTTGGGAGTTTTGATGGTCAATGATGCTCTTGAGAGAACCACCTGTCAGATACCTGTTTCGTCTTGGATACCTTCTGTTAGAATAGGCGGGTGCATTCGTTGCTGGACAGTGCCAGTCAAGGGAGAGATTGCAAAGAGAGACGCAACAAAAAGCGGAATTTGTGTTATGGTCCTGTAATGTCATCACTGCCGGATGTGCTCCACTACTTGTGCACAAAAGTGGGCAACTACCTGTTTTGATAACTACCTGTTTTGGTGCCGGATCTTCGAAGCTTTCTCTGAACAAAATACAATGAGAATGGTAAGACGCTTTCCTACATGTTTGTCTCGAGTCTCTAGATCCAGATGACCCGGTCAGGGAGATTATCGGTTGTGAGATGGCCAACTGGGTCAAAAAGGGGGGACCTGGTTGATTTTTTGTACACAGAAAATGAACAGAATAGACTACCACAGACAGGTCAACCTACCGCGGTTTAGGGCGCTGTAATTTGACCCACAGCCATATAGAAGAAGTTTTGAGCTCGTTGGTCGCAGCTTGGTCGCTCTAGGAGAATCCTCGCAGTGCTGGACGCGGGCAGCAAGCTCTCAGAGATGCTGATCGCTTTGAGAGGGTTGAGAGAAGCGAGGAGTGGCGCGAGGGTTTGGGAACCGCTTCAACAATCAACTGATGCAGTCAGAATTTGGCAAGAGGGGGCCTCTTTTTAAGGACATCCATCCAGGGGAACACATGGAAACGGGCATTGAACATCTGATGCATCGGGAGCGGGCTCTCCGTGCTCCGTTTCGCAAGCCCGCACACCAACGACCTCTCGGCTCTCCGTGCTCCGTCTCACCGTGGTGTTCGTTGCACCAAGGCTGACGGGAGCCCATCGCAACGGTTTGGACAAAGTCATCGGAGCTGAAGTGGATAAGGCATGCAAGGCAGGTTCCTGTGGGTCCGCCGGGGGGGTCCTTCCTGTGGGAAAGGTTCCTGTGGGAAGTTCGTCGAGATCATTTGAACATGACCACCTCCAAGGAGCATGTGGGGTTTTCAAAGTTCAATTGCTCTTGGGGCATGCAAGAGCTTCGGAAAGCTTGGAGAAGCACCCGGTGTAGCTCCCAAGGAACTCGCACAGTGCTTGTTACAAACTCCCAGGTAATTCTTGAACAATACTTTCATCCTCTATCAGGACTGTGGCGGCATGCAGCTGTTGGAAGCACTCCCTCAGATCAAGGTGGAAGACAATTCGACAGCATCCAAGGCAGCGGTGATGTTCGAGGGGAGGAAAAGGGGTGAAAGGAAGGATGGACTTGAGAGTCATCATGAGCCTCAGTGAACATATCTCTCGAGACCAGTCACCCCACCTCTGAACGGATCTTGTGGTTGAGGCCCGAAAAACACTATGGCCTGCATGGGGCTAATGTAGCGGCTACTGTGGATCCCTAGTTTCATTGAAAGACACTTCCAGGAGATCGATTCCGGCACGTTCTCATCGCCGTGGTTTCCAAAAGAAGACCCACAGCGCAGTGTTGTTTGGTTGGTGGACATAGGCATCCGGTGCTGCGGCAATGGATCCAATAGAACGCTATAAGCAATAGAAGACCTTACGGACCTTACGGTAGATTTTAATACCGACGGTTTTCATGCATATGATGCTACTAGTTTTGCAAACTGCCCCACAGAGACAGAACCGCAGAATATGTTTGATGAGCAGAACATAGCCACTTTATGCCACTTTGGTCATGTTCGAAAGAATTGGTTAGAACAAGCGACTTTTGTTTGCTCTCCGGTCTTTCATGGAGTGAGTATATAGTTTGGTGGCTTGTAGAACTGACAAGTATGAAAGGCTTGATTTGGCTCGATTTTTTCTCTCCAGGAGATGTGCACGCTTTTTGTGAAGATGATTGTTGACCGGGTCAGCACCTCAGTGCCTTCCACCTGGTGAAATTCTGCAGACCTTTAGCAGGTTGACTGTGACCTTCAATTGGTAGATTTAGAATTTAGATTCTTCATCCCAACATATCACGAACGGTAGCTTCAGCTACCTGAGTTTTATCTTGCGTAAGCAAGGGGGCTGCCTTGGGGAAGTTGTTGATTTTCGATGATTTTTGTGGTCAAGGTTTGATTCTATTCATTGGGGGGTCAACAGCATCATTATCATCATCAGCACATTTTTCATCATCAATCATCATATAATTTTCTTCCTCAGCTCGTCTTCTTCCTCCTCCTCCTCCTCCTCATCAATATCTCATCATCATTATCGTCGTCTCATTATCATCCTCATATATCCTTATCATCCTCCTCCTCCTCCTCCTCATCCTCATCCCGACATTGTTCCCTTTGCCAGATGATTGGTTGTGTCTCCAATGACACATGCATGATGGCTACCTTTCGTTCACCCCTCCTCAAGTTATAATATGTTATATGTTGGGAACATTTAATTCAAACCCAGAGAATAAGTATTCATTCGCAATCCCATCATGTTGATTCATTCTGGGACACGCTGTAAGGGCCTCTAGCCAGCTTCCACCCATACGCAAAAGACAGATACGCGCAGCCCGAGAATGCCTGACTTTGGGCACCCACCATCTCGGAGGTAACTATTAGCCAGCCTAGCCTGAGAAAGTAAATAGAACCTAGCCAGCCTAGCCTGTAGGCAGTCTACAGTATAGTAAATAGCCAGCCTAGCCGAGTAGTAGGAGCACGGTCTTTTGCGAGACGACGGATTTGTCCGGTCTCTGGCGACTCGAGCGTCGACCCAAGCCCGGACGGCCGTCTCGCGCTGGCGAGCGTCGAGCGAAGAGCGTCGAGCGAGCCATGGCGACGTCGGAATCAATCGTTCTGTGTGTGAACAGAACAGGTTACACAGGTCCACCAAAATTTGATACTCACCTTATAGTTGCAATCTAGTAGTATTTAATATAGTTAAATCATGTTAAATCCATCCAAATCTATCCAAACCCTTTGAATGAATGCGACTCTGAATGCTGGTTTGAACAGTTCACTCATTTGCTCGGTCTCGAGCTTCCGACAGCCTCTCCACGAATCATCCCATCGGTTCAGCTGTTGGGATGAGAAGGCAAACAAAAAAGTAGGGACTTGCTGCAGCCACTTTTGTTTTTTTTACATGTGATTCACATATATATATATATATAATACATATATATATATATATCATTATGTGATGACTCGTATCCAACAAAACCAGAGACAGACGCATGCCCAATTCCGAATTCACCACAATCCACCACACCACGTAAAAGTTAGGACCACAGCCGTGCCAGGCCCCCTCCATTTGCTATGAAGCCCGGACCTTCGCGGACGCCGTGAAGCGGTGCCTGGCCGCGTTGCGCGACGTGAGGCCTTCCGCCGCCGTTCGAAGTGGATGTGCGCTGAGACAGAACGAGAGATCTGTAAAAGTCTCTGGATGTGCGTCCGAACTGTAGTGACTATGTCGATTTGAGTCATGATACTTGGTGTGTAAATTTCAAGTCTGATTGTGATAATGATAAAGAGACTTCGATTTCCCTTCGATGTAAATCAGAGACCACTGAGATGACCGTGTCGTGTCGCTTGCGCGGGCAACGAGTGAAGAACTCACTCTCCGGCCACCGCCTACTAGGCCCTTGGCCGAGGGCGTGCTCTTGGCGTTGCTGGAGGCTGCTCCCAAAGAATCCATGGACGCTCCGCAGCAGTGGAGGATTCGTGGGACCGGACGACAGTTGGACGAAACTACAACCAGCCCTCCAGCACGGCTGTGCTGCAGCGCGGAGCCCTTCTTTGTGCTGTTCTTTTTCGGCCCGAGCTGAGCAATCTTCGTTTGGAGGGAGAGTTTTTGGGACCATGGAAAAGATTGGCTGGATGCAATGAAATGAATTTCCCCGGTGTTCCCAGCATTCCCCAGCCAGTCTGACATAGCTTGATCATTTCTTTAGCATTTGATGGACCTTCGCATGGTGGGAAGATGGGTTCACATACGGGGGTGCGCTCAGTGTGCTCAGCTGTATCCTAGGAAACTTCTATGAAACACTTCTTTAGTAATTGTAGGACCTTGATGAGGCATTCGATTTCACCAGTTTCTTGACAGGGAAGTTGCCTCTCGCAAGTATTTGCTGGACCTACTTGTAGAAAATCGTGAGCACCATGTAGATGAACGCCGACAATCTATTGGCAGCAAAACCGTGGTTTTGACCAAAAACTCCGCGTGGTCGCCCTGGTCGCTGAGATCAAAGGCCAGAGGCACTGTTTGAGCTAAGGATATTCATACCCTGATGGAGAAAGGTGCTGAGCATTGGCGGCTCTTGCTCAAGGCAGCGGCCGACAGTGGGATCAATGGACCTGGCAATGTTCCAGGGCGGATGGAGGATGGATGAGCCCATATGCAAAATGGCAAAATGAGGGGCCCCATAGGCTTTACAGCTTGAAGTGTTTCTCAGGCGTCTCATCAAACTGATCAGTCCAGAAAAGGCCACCTGATGGAGGGCCTCTCCAACTGGGATCTTTCTCTTCCGGCTGGTAGGCCCTAGTGGGGAATGTGGGGAACTGCAAACCGCTGTTCTATGTCGTTTTGTTTCACGGCTTGAACCAACCATGGGCCTGGCAGACCTGCGTTTCGACATGTGTCGCAACATGTGTATATACATGTGTATACCCTCAAGTGGCTCCAGTAGTCTTGATGAATTTCAGCTAATATGCCAATATCCCTTTTTTTATCCTTTCTTGAATGGAAAGACAAGGCTTATCGCAGTGGCTGTGGCCTGTCGCTTCACGCATGGCTTTTCCTTTCAAAGAAAACTTTGCTCCAAATACAGCCTGAGACGGCCGCTTTTCTGCGCAGGCCTTGTTCAAATGCATCATGAGGGGTTGTCGTCAAGCGGGTGGTTATCGTCAAGCGACCCTTCAACTGTGTAGATGTTGTATTTGCCAAGCTTGTTGGCCCTGCTCGATCAGCTTGTACGCCGAAGGATTTGAAGATTTGTTAGGAGGTGGCCATCATCCCCAAACAACCCTTCAAATCAGTGGGTTCGGTGAAGCACAAGGCCTTCGCACAGGCGGATCCAACAGGATTCCTAGAATTTTCCATATGGCAGTGTGGGCAGCTGTAGCCCTTAAGAGCCGGTTGCCCCGGTGCGTGCCCCGCCTGGTAGCTGTGCTTGTAGCTATCCAGTTTGGGTGGTGTGTGGGCATAGACAGATGTTTCGTAGAATCATCTACAAAGTCATAGCTGAGATCAACAACTTCATGGCCAGGCCTGGGAGGAGCTCGGAGAGCGCCCCAGGCGCCAGGAACGGCTGGCGGAGCTCTTCCATATGGCGAAGAAGAGCTTGGGAGATTTGGTCACAGGCGATTTTCCAGGTTTGATTGAAGATTCAGCTTATTTCGACATATACATTCAATGAAATTCATCAAACTCCGCTTGGATATTCCATGGAGCAAGCTGTCTTGATGGTTCTCAAAGGTTGTGCTTTCTTGGAGTCAAGATGACTTTAGGCTTCAATTCGCCCATATTATTGGTTCAAATACGTAAAAGAAAACACCCGTATATACTCACCACCGATCCTTTTGTTCGAAAGACTTAATGAAGTCGGACACCCCCCCGTTTGGAAAGAATGGCGCCACTCCGGAACCAAACTGATTCGTGAATTCCCTCATGGTCAGGTGAGATCAAATTGGCTGATGCTGAGACCCTGCTGAGCCACAACCGGGAAGCACTCCTGGAGCTCCTCACAGCACTCGCCAAGGACCTGTGCCAGCTTTATGAAAACACATGAATGCCTTTCGCGTGTGGCGCCACGCTGTTTCATCTGCTGTAATTCATTGAAGTGAGCTTCCTATAAAGTAACATGTTGAGAAACAATGGCCGTTGTCCAGATACTGCTGCTCGCTATGTCACAGTGGAACGGCCTCGACTCTTGTGACTGTTGGGCCTTGAACTCCATATCTTTTCAAGCTGGCTGAAGCGGGTGTGCAGCGGGCGTGCAGCGTGTTTGCTTCGCGGCCGGAGGGATCTTTGAGAAGCCGGAAGCTTCTTTCAACGCTACGCACATGCAGCATGCATTTGATGGAATGCTTTACAACAAAGCATTGCATTTGGGAGTTGTTGAATGGGAGGGTGACGAAGTCTTGTGCAGAAGACTGGCAGACTTCTCCAGCGCTTCTGGGCTGTGTCTCTGTACCTCTTTGCGTAGTGCAACTAGTTTCAAGCTACCATGCACAGCCGACGGGACCACTGCAGCATACTGCCGCTACCTGCTGCCTTGGCGCCTGCGTAAGTATGCCAGGCATGGAGGAAGTCTTGTTGCGGAGTATATCGAAGTTGGTTCCAGGCTATTGCAATAGATGTGCCTGCCAAACAGGTACACACATTTGCTTACGGCTTACGTGCCGATGGCAGCTCAGCTGCAGCCAGGGTAGCACAGTGCCTGACAAGCGAAGGAGGTTGTTGATGTCTTGAAAGGCCTTTGGCCAACCCTTGACATCCCGGACTCACTTGAGGTTTCGCAGCTGCTTTTGCAAGCAGATTGTGCGAGCAGGTTGCATATTTTATCCGTGCTTGCTTTTGCCCGATGACCCTTCACATCCAATTTTGTGGGAAGCAAAACCACTGGCTCACAGTCCAGGGTGGTGGTTCATGTGATGTTAAACAGTTCAAAGAATTGGAGCACAAGATGATTCACGGTGTCAAATGCCTTTTCCATGTCAAGGACAACTTGAATGCCCAAACAAGCCCTGTGCAGTGGTGCCATGATGATGAGTTTGACAAAGCTTGCGTACATGATGGCAGTGCTGAGAAACAGCGAGCATGCAATCCCTAGTACCCCTTTGTTTTATGACATACAATATACAATGGCATTTGACGAAGTGTCGGATAGGTATGTTGTATAACTCGTTTGCAATAAATGCGTGAGATTGCCTATATTGTCCTTACTGCATGTCCTTGCAAAGGTTTTGCAGGCTTCAGTGTTTCATCATGTTTATATCTTTTTCAGCTGAAGCTCTGAACCATGTCAAAGTGGACGAAGATAGAAGTGCAAAGTCACCAGAACCATCACACTTCACCGAACCCCGCACAATTCTGCAGTACCTGGATGGGCTTGACCGGGCCGCGACGAACCTGGTGAGCATCATTGAGACCCAGGTCCGTACGTGCCTTGGCTGCGTAGGTGCTGGGCTTGAGGAGGATGTAGATTTCTGAAAGAGTGCGTGTGCGGAGCGCGAGGCACAAGCTGGACATTGCAGAGATGTTGTGGGCCACCAGTGGATTCTTACCACTTGCGCGGCCGCGCAGCGGCGACTGTCTGAGGTACAACGAAGCAGCTGAACGATCCAGGAATTTCCTCCTACTTTGCAGACACTGCGGGCTCATTGGCTCTGCAGAGGCCCGTTGTGCTGGGCTTCAATCAGATCAGACAATGTGGCCTTCCATACCTCCAGCCAATCCAAGTGGCCCCCCGAGACCCAGATGCCTGCTGCTTGCACTTTGCAATTCATTGCGGTCTGGTGGTAGTCCTATCAAGGCTAATTATGAGCACATCCTCTCAGCAACCGAGCTTCACCCAAAGGCTACTGCCACCAATAAGGACTTGGCTGTGAGTGATCATACCTCTTGGACCAAAAACATCAGAATACTGGCGAACATCCAGTGCCTTTTTCTCGATGTGCGAACACTGCGAACTATTTCTGTTTGTCAGGTATTTTGATTTTTTTTTGACTCACTGCCGCCTATGAATGTTGAATGATGAGCTAGTGAGACAATTGTGACAAGGGTGTGATGCTGTGTAGGTTGGGTTCTACGTCTTGTAAGATTATTGAATGTTGAAAGAAAAGGACTTTAGTAGTAGAACGCGCAGTGGCCAAACCGCAGTGGCCAAACTTATGGTAGTATATACAATCCTGATAGATCCTGATAGTAGTATTTAGTATTAATTAGTATTATATTGTACTGTTGACACCTTTCACCACCCAAATGTTGGTCTAAAGATGTGGCCCCCGCAAACACCCGGTGCAAGCACGATGAAGCGAGAGCAAAGTCGTTCGGAGTCGGCTTCGGTCGCTGGTTCTTCCTGCCGGAACAGGTGTCTACGGCTGGCCTTGCAGTCTTGGAGCGCGACAGACAGAAGTCCCTCAAAAGATTGCAGTGGCTGAACGTTGAGGAGACCGCAGTGGCCAAAACTACGATATACTCGTAGTAGAAATGCCTCATCCAGTGGTTACTGATTGAGTGGCCAGTGTGGTGAGCGTTTCTGCACTGATTTTGACGTCTGAAAGTAATGGGAAGAGGTTGATCTAGTACATGTGCACCATGCTGCGTGGGTGTTCAAACGTGGCCAAGTCTGTCAAGTCTTTGGTCATAGAGGATCACCGTGTTTCCTACGAACTTGGGCTGCCAACATTCCCAGTATCGAGGACGAGCTGCAACATCACCAACCGAGCCTGTGTGGTCAATCTGACACTTGCTGAATCCAAAGGCTATCCGTAGCAATTTGTCCTCCAAAAGTGGACATGTTGTTTGCCACAGGAGAATTAACTAGTGCTGGAAGCCGTCCACGTGCTGAAACTTGAGACGAACACTCATTGGGGTGTACAAGGCTTTGTGAGGTCTTGGTCACCATCGGGCTGAGCTCGAATGCGCCAAAAGCATGCCGCCTTTCTCGCTAGGACCGCTGGTGGTGTCCGAAGTTGAAAGCCATCAATGATCTTCCGAGCTGTGATCCCCGGGCTGAATTTTTGCTTGGCTATTTGTTCTCTTTCTTTGTTTTTTTTTGTTTGGCAGGTGTTTCACCAACAGCAGCTTTATGGTTCACATGTGAAAAATACGGCCGCCAATTTCGGGTGCATTTAGGATGGTCAGGGTTTCCCCTACAGTTCCTGAAAAGACAGCAAGGCTGAAAGGTTTGTTGCAATCTGAATGGAAGAGATAGCTTGTTCCGGGAAAAACACTCTGTGACGAAGACTCAGACGTCAAGCCGTGCAGTACTCCCTGTGTATATCCATGTTCTCAAGCAATCGGTCAATGAATCCAACCGTTTGTTAAGACACATTGCGAAGAAAGGAGAGCATGGCAGAGTCTCCGACAGAGCCTGTTTTTTCACATTCGTCATCCCTCTGGATCTCCAAGGAGATCTTCAAGAGGATCGTGATCAGGTGGGCCAAGGATGAGGAGGCGCTTACTGCTGAGAGCGACGCCGACAGTGAGGAGGAGGGCGGCGCTTTGGAGGGAGCAGCTTGATGGATTTGTTTCATTAGTTCATCATTTCCAGACCCATCAGGTTTACTGTATATATAAGTGTAGTCACTGTAGTCGTTTGTTTCACCAGACAACCAGCGCGTTGTTTGTTTTTGTCCTATTTTTTTCCAGAAACCAATCCTTTTGAGCCTAACCCATTTGAGCTACGTTTATGTCGAACTGATGAACTACTATAAAAATGAGAGTGCACGTGCATGTATTCTTTGTAAAAGCAGACATGTTGTATCTTATTAGTCTTTGCAGCCGGTGGAAGACACATGGCATAGGCTTTTGACATAGGCTCTATTCTGGACTCGAACCTTCTGAGGGGAAGCATTAAGTAGTTTGAGCTGCTTGGAGGGATAAGCCGCCCCAAGTAGTTTGAGATTCGGTGAGGAGAGATCAATTACGAATCATAAGTTTAACTTTTTATTGTCCGGTTGTTGTTTTATCTGGGGCTATTCCACCAGATGTCTTCGCAAAGAAAGGCTTGTTTTCCATTTCACCGCTTCCCCCCCCCCACGAAGACTCTCGTAGCCTTCCGCATCTCTTGCGCTTCCTTTCTCTCCTCGTCTCTTTTTGTGCGCACGGCTGGCTTCCGCAGCACGTCTATCTCATCACTGTGAATTGGCTGTCGACGTATTTTGAACTAGTACGTCTCACAGCGATCTGTTTGGACATTTGAGGACTTGGAGTTTTATGCCATGTGTGCTAACCTCTGGTGGTGAGATATGAGGGACGGTCAGAGTGATCTGGGAACCCAGACTTGTCATCTCAACTCAGGAAGCGCCGCAGCATGATGAGAGAAGTCACCTAGACGTGTTGAACACTGAGATGGACGGAGGCTTCTTATTCGATGCCAGTAAAATGCTGCAGAGCTTCTTTGATGAATTCGTGAGTGGCTTGGACTGTGATGCGCCAGACCCAGCGGTCAGTAGTTCGAGCAACAATGAGTCCAGAGTCCGGAACACCATTGAAAGCAGCAAAACTTCCAAAACTGGTGAAGTATATGATTCCTTGAAACAAGCAACCGCCCATAGTTTGAAATCTTTTTGGTTGCTTAGCCGCTTAGCCCTGTCACGCCGACATGACCCACATCATGAGGACAAGCCAGATGTTTGCACAGGACACGGACGGGTATTCCATGCAAATCAATGGATGAGTGAAATAAACACATACAAAAGCCACCATGCCATAGTCACAGCTTTTCCAAAAAAATATCCATATCGACTCCTCACCATGCATGCCTGTTTTTGTGTCAGAAGTGTCGGGTTCCTCAACAAAACAATGACAATGATTCCAGTGAGGCGAATGTAAGACGCTGGCTGAGACGTCCGTGACGAACTTGGAGTTCGACAGGGTCAGTGAGCTGATCCCCATGGAAGAGGAACAGCTTTCCGTTGGCTCCGTTTTGGCTGGTATGTCGATTAGATTTTACGGCAAAGAATCTTCAAAAGGGGACGTGCAACTTTGGTTGGTTCTTGGGAAAACTGTGTGGTTTTGCAAGCGAACCTTGAAGGTGGTGAGTGACTTATCTTGGGCATGTTCAGTCTTGGTAAAGTCTTGGTATGATTTTGTGATCCAATCCCTTGCCCAAATGTTGTAAAAAAGCTCTTGATTGAGTAGCGGATTATTGGATTTGTTTATTGGCCATCATTGGCACAAGAAACCGGAGTTGGAACGTTCTCAAGTTCCTATTGAGCGACCGAAACACGTATCGAGAGGCCAGTGAAGTTCGAGAGCATCTGAGCGTCGCCAACAAAGTTCGAGTGCTCAGTTCGAGTGTTCACGGTGGCCGTTTCAGATGTGATAGGTCCAACTGTGGGTGTTCCTGAAAAACATCTTTAGCACACCTAGTCATCATGAGTGCCTGGCAGAGTGCCTGGATTCTTGAACAACTTGTGCTGGCTTTCCTTGCCCAACTCAGAGGAATGCAACTCCAGAGGAATGAACAGGAGGTGCTCACCAGGAGGTGTGCGACGATTGAAAGGGAACACAGGAAAGGATAGGAAAAGATCAACGAAGAATAGGAGGGGTAGAATCGAGCAACCACAGTCAACTCTAGACAATGTAGAGGCGATCCAACAAGTGACGAGTTAACCTAGGAATACCCAGGATTCCCTGGAAAAAAGCTAGAAAGGAAAGAGTCAACAGCGAAGAGAAAGCTTGAACCACACGCGAAAGTTTGAAGAGTGAAATTGCATGATTTGGCATTTCCGCCTGCAATGTTGGATTGATGATATAATAATCACCCCAGTGTGGCATTCATAATTTAGACATGTAGCAGACACTTTGACCACTTCTCTTAGGAGATGCTTTCAGGGAATTTCACCTGCTGTGGGGGCTGCTTTAGATGTTTAGATTCTTAGATGATGGCCTTTCTCGGAGAAGTGGCGTGACAGCGTCGCTCTTCAGACCGCCGAGGCGAGTGGCGTCGGTTTCCCGGAGTTGTTGCAACGGACCCTCCAGATGGCAGCGCGTGTGCCTCGGGCAGCGGCGGACTTGGAGGCTGTGTGCCTTGGCCAAGTACAGTTCAAAGCCACAAGGAGGGGGGTCGCCTTTTGATTATTTCCAGTCTCCTACCAGGGGAAATTCACTATAATTAGCATAATTTGTATGGTTCTAGTACAGATAGTATTTGTGTCTTTGATTGGTTTTGAGTTTTGAGTCTTGTTGATTGTTTTTGCGCTGGTTCCAGGGTGGTGTTTGCGGTGCTTCCGTACTTTCGGAAGAGTCCGCAGTCCGCATGCTTCTTTTTTCCCGGCTTCTTTCAGACGTAGTAAGACCACCAACTATCCGCCCAGATTGAAGGAGCGTCTTCGTTTACAACATACCCAGATTATTATAGTCGTTTTGTTTTCAAGTATAGACAATGGGCCTGGAATGGCCTAGGACACTCCCAAGTTATACTGGCAGGAGGAAACGACTCTTGCCACCCCTTTTTGTGGCGGCGTCCAGTGGTGAGAAGAAAGTACATTCTCGCGGGTATATAGATCGCGGCATTTGGGATGCCCAAAGACTATATATCGGAAATCAAAAGCTTTGGGAAGCCCCCTGCTTGAGCAAGAACATCTTTCAATTTTGCTGTAGAAGCACATCCAAGTCTTGTTACAACGCAATTTTTCACGTCCCTTCTCGGAACACTCGGAAGGAAGAAAATATAATCCACCAAATCAGCACTAGGCACCCTTTCGACACGTCCCTCGACCAAAGCCTGACGCGGCCGTGCCCGGTGGACCGAGGCACACGGCTGCGGGTGTCTTGGGCATGCGAGCTGGAAAGACCGAAGTCGAGCAGTTGAAGAGTTGGGCGACACCTTGGCTTGACTTAGACCATCGAAGGTGGCTCACCACCGAGTCATGAGCTCATGACTGTGCTTGACAAATGCCATCCAGAAACGCCATCCCCTTCAGCTCAGTGGATAGATTCGGGCGGATGCACACTGACTCAACACACGACTTGGCCCTCAAAGGACTTATCAGCAGTAGACGACCCTGACATGCAACAAGCCTCCCAAAGTGAAAATACGTATCAGGACAAATTGGACGTTGCCCCCCTGCTCCCGGTGACACTGGGATTCGAGATCCACTGGACGAAGACTATGGAGACCCTTCAACAATCTAGCCAACAGCGGCATGACCGCGTACGAAAGCACACCAGATCTTGATGGGTTGAAGGAACAGAATACAGACCTGCGGAGAGGAACAGAGCTACGTAACATGTGCTGATTCCAATGTACAACCTTACGGCCCGCAGTGCTGCATAGTTTGTTAGTCTCTTAGGCCCGCGCAGGCTAGTATCCAGCAGGTGGATTTAGAGGTTCCTGAGTCCGTGGCAAGCACAATACTTGTCACGTCACACTTTAGTCGTGCACGATCTTGGAACGTTGAACTCCAGTCCAGCTGTCCCAAAACCCTGGCACATGCCCAAGCACTGGCAGCTTTCAACACGCTCCAAGGAAAAAGATCTCAGTCCCTGGTGCCTATCGCATCCCAGTGACTTCACTTGCCAAGTCGGTGGAGGATGCGGACGTCGTCTTGGGGAAGTTGGCGACCAAGGTGGTCGGCCCAGCAGCTGGCGGTTGCATCCCCATCGCACGAAACCTGGCGGAGGCCAAGGATTTATACGAATTTCTGAAGTGCCTTGGGCGAAGAACAACGTATGGACGACCCCCAGACACTCACCAGAGTGCCGGGGGTTAGGCAACAAATGCTTGAGAACAAACTCCAGGCCATCCCCCTCCCTCCTTGTTCCTTCGTGGCCTCTCGTGGCCGTCTAGTTGTTGCTGCATAAGCACAGCCTGTGCTGCCGCCCCCAATCCCCCACAGTTTTCAGATGGGGGATTGGTTATGTTTCCTTGGATCATTGCAGTTAGGATCTACATTTATTAAATTAGTTGGTTGAGTGTTGGGCCTGTTTAAGTTGGGGAGCGCGTGGCGAGTCATGTTGGCTGAGCCACCTTACCTTCATCAGTCTTTTCTTGCCCCTAGATGTATATATTGTATAATTGCGTGTCATACTTATTTATCAGTGATACTTATTGATGTATATTGTACATTATACACATGTAGTACAGATTGTGACTCAGGTTTTTCCTCAGTTAAGACACATGCAAGGTCTTTGGCAGCTCTTGAAATATCTGGCACATGGTTTGCAAGGGGCCGTTTACTTCCCTGTAGTATCTTATTCCGTGTTGTGTCTTCTTCTACCGTTGAATACTCATCCTTGTTGTGCAATCCCAGAGCGTTGCTGGGTGCAACGCTTCATTTTTCGCTACACCTCTCTCGTGACCAGTGGCTTGTGTATTCAATGTGTTCGGATTCTTTTGGTTTCCTGGGCTCTTTTGCGAGCACATTGAAGGTTCTTGTAAGTATGCAGGCAATTTTTATCCACCCTTGTCACCTGTTATTGATCCAGTTCTGGCCCGGTTCATGATTACTTTTCAATGCTTTCCAAGTTCTCAGATATATTCAGGTTGCCTGGGAGCTGCGGCGTTTGCCTTATACTCCCAACTTGTTTGTCCGTGGCTTGCACACTACCTCTCAACATATACTCCTTACGTATTCGATTTCACGGAAGGAGCTAGCTTTCCTTTTCTTGACTGGCTTGATGACCTCGGGAGAGCGGGAACACCTCCCCGAAAAGCTTTTTAGAGCACACCTCTGATGCTCATGATTTCGTCGTTTCGTGAGGTCTTTGTTGGACGAAGATCTATTGCAACTGCAAGATTCCATGGAGAGCCACTCGGATGAGCTCCTGAGAATGGACACCATCTTTGCATTGGATGATGTGCGACGTCTCTTCAAGGCGCTGACGAAGAGACGCTTCAGGACTGGAAGAGCTGAAGAGCTGCAGATGGGATCAGAGAAGACATGTTGTTGTTCTAGATATTCAAGTGGCGCCCAGGGCTCGCTCCAGCCAAAGAATGTGTCTCACTGCCAAGTGCCTTTGTCTCTCGCTGTTGGGTGTGCTTTTGGCCCATGGCGCTTTCGATACAGGGCCTGTGCAAACAATCAGGTCTTTATGAAGCCAAAACGCCGCATTCCATGTATATTGATATATATATATACACACATCACACCCCTTATAGATCTATGACTTGAACCTACCCAGATGCCAGTGATGGCAGCCTAGAATTTGTAGCAGCGCTCAGCCAGAGTTTGACATGTAAAAGCATAAACCAAGCTATCTGGCAGCAACTCCAGCTTGCATGAGGCTCTGAAAAAGCAACCATCATTACCCATTTCCTCAGCTGAGATTTATCTAGGGCTTTGTAGGAGGGTTTTGGGGCAGCTGACATGCAGGATGGACTTCGCTGATGCGTTGCTTGAAAGCGTTCAGGACAGACATGCCAATGGGTTCCAGAGAGCATACATCATCATACATCTCAGTCAGGCCATTTTGCTGCCGGACAAGTTTTCCTGGAATCAATCCTCCCGGAAACTACGATAACTATGCACCTTCTTCATGGATATTCCCTGTAGCTGGCTTCCCAGCTAGTGTGGGATTCGGTCGTTTGACAGGGAGTCAACATTTTATGTCTTTGTGCGAGGATCCAAGAATCACCGAACAAAGGATTGTGCTATCGACAACTAGCCACAATCTCTCGCTTCTTTCTTTGCATCGACCAATTCTCGATCCGACTCAACCTCGTTCTCAGCTCATCTCATCTCCCTTGTGGCGCTCGGAAGTCTCGCCGAAGCCCTGCCGAAGTCTCCCCGTTTGGAACAGTCGGTGCCGTTTTGTTTGGGGCGAGGGGCTTCCCTGTTGGTGTTCCGCTTTGGGAAGCCGGGTGGTCGATAGTGATTTGTGCAAAAACCTGGAAATAGCCGTGTTCTCTCGCCAGGACCTGAAGGACATCAGTGATTTGGCTGGAAAGTTGCAAACATGTGTGCAACATTCACATGGGCTGCAGAACTTGTACCGGAACTTATCGAATCGAGAGGCACGGGGCGGTGGGACCGCGCCACAAAATGGCTGAACAGTAAGCGAAGCAAGGCCTTCGTTGAGTGCAGAACAAGAGTCAACAAAGCCGTGTTCCTGTGCTTTGTGGTAAGAAAGAACGACGCTCATACGTAGTAGGCATCATGCAAATGAGACTTGCTTGAGGAGCATGTCACCGGGTGACGGGCCATCTAATATATACATCCATAGTTTTTTTTTTGAATTGTACAACAATTATGAGAATGAAAAGTATTGTTTTGCACTCCAACAATCAGAAGCGTCACGGGCAATAATACCGATAATACCGACATCTTACTTCCAAAACAAACACCGATCAACATCTGCTGCTGCAACGTTTGAACTTGCAGCCAAGTTGGAAGAACATCCTGAAGTTTCAAGACTATGTCCAATGATTGTCTCCCTGCAGACCTTCCTTTGGGGTCAGACAGATGTTGTTTATTGGATTTGCAGTCACCAATCAAACCGGAGCAACGTGGGTCCGGGTCGCTCATTTTTGTGGTTTGAATCGAAGGGTTCATGGCATGGAAGCCTTGAACAGGAAAATTTGGAATCGTTTTGAATTGGTTGAGGGAGGACACATCTTTTTGTGCTTGCTTCTTCTTGTTCTAGTCTGTCTTACTCAGTTGTTCTTTCTGATTGTGATGCCCGTCCAATATATTGTTGCAACTATGTGTGACGGCATACGTTTGAATGAAGTGATATCAAGGTACCCAGGTATCCATGCATCCCTTCCTCAACAAATCTACGCCCGTTAGCAATTGTTACGCCTGGGCCAAGGGGTTCTCCTTATTTCAGGTCTAGCTAAGATACAAGCAAATCAGTGATTTGTTGGGATCAAAAGACATGGTCAGGAGCCAGTCCAAGAGATTTGCAATCCCCACCAGTCCAAGTCTCGTCCTCGTCTCACCGCAGCCTGCGTGATATCAACCGACTGGAGGAAGTTGCGACCGAGAAGATCAAGCAAGCCGTCAACTTGGGGACCTACCGCATTGAGTGCCACACCACTGCCGTTGACATCAGCCTGACATACCCCAGTACAGCCACTGGCAGCTTGCTTGGAAGTCGAAAGTCATACGACATATAGACACACTGTCCAGGTTGGACAAGTTTCTCCCAGAACACATCCAAGTCCGCCTGTCCGTATGTACCAACGATGGTCGTCGAAGCTGTACGAACGGATGGCCGAACGGGAAGGAAGGCGCTCGGCTCCGACGGACGTTCTTGTTGAGGAAAAATGACGCCAGACTGACGCTGTAGCAGCCAGGAACGATGCGTCGGTTTTGACCTCCTTCCCTCACTTGGCCAGGAACGATGGTGAAGCTGGGAAAGCAGGACTTGGTGGATTTGCGAGCCAGAGCTTTGTTGAACCACCCAGATGATCGGGCAAAAGGAGCAGACGAGAGGCCACTCATGAACTTGTTCCTTGTCCGAGAGGCCAGCTGTGCTCTCTCAGCCTTGGACGTGACAGTCAATGGAAAACATGTCAGAAAGCAGGGAACGGTGAAACGATGAAATGCTACCGTTCGCCGTTCGCCTAGGAACCGATACTGCAATGACCCGACCCTCCAAACCCATGGGCGATTTCCGAAAGAATAGACCACAACTTGTGAGTCGCTGGGCCTTCATGTTGTTCACACCACAAACATATGACTGTTTTGACTCAAGACTCGTGGCGAATCTCGTGGTCAGTCTCTAACCTTGTTGACTAGGTACCCGCATGTGATGGGTGCATGGGCTGCATGATAACTTGAGCGCTTATCAGGGACGTGTTGAGTCTTCCTTTATCTTCATTGCCCGACGTGCGCAGATGCGAACCAAGGCCTTTCACTCTCATTCAGATGTTGAGGATCTGAGTTCATCCAAAACTCTTAGCTTGTTCTTTGATAGTCGCTCTACCCTCGTTTGCTTCAAAAAGGCAGTGTGGCACCAAGGTTCCAGCACAAGAACACGTCTTTCTGACCTTTCCCAAGCGAACAGGATATTTATTGGTGCTTTTGTTTCATTTGGATCAACCGCCCAACCTCCGCCCGGAAAGATCACCAAGCGCTTCGTATCGCCCTCTTTCGACGACCGTCGCGACCGTCGAGATCGTTCAGGTTCGTGCAACAAGTGGACGTGCTGCTGCCGGCTTGCATCCAACTTGAGACACTGCGCGATGAAGGCTTCTACTGGGCGAGAACACGGGTTGAAGAGGCCTCCAATGTGGGAGGTGGCGCGTTGCAGAAGCTGATGCAGATGGACAAGAACTTTCAGCAGGAGGGAGGGGTCCTCGGAGGTCCCAATGTCCGGAACCAAATGCCAGCTCCCGGTGCCCAGTTCACCCGAGTTCACCGGAAACATGGTCAAAGCCAAAGCTCAATGTAAACTTGGAAAGGCCAACATCATTTTCCTGGATGTTCTTCCTTTTGGCCAAGTTGAGGACCTGCAAGAGTGGCGACTTCAACTTCAGGCGGCACGCCAAAAATACCCTGAGTTGGCATTCGTGTCCTGGATCAAACTTATCAGCATCCTGGAGAACCAGCCTCATAAAAGGCTATTTTCCACACCTGACACTTGCTTTGACTGAATGGCATTTTCAACATAAAGGGTCCTCCGAACAAGCATCGTGTCTTGACGCTTTGTGTTGGTATTTCGTAGAGGCGTCTTTGACCCTGCAATTGGTGCACACATAATATTAGGTAGATGCTCCCGTATTGAAGATGCACCATGAGAGGTATATAATATAAGTAGGACCTAGGGAATCTATAGGAAATGCATGGACATCCCACGAGATGGATTGCACATGGATGGAAATCGAATTATTGCTGATAGATGCTAATGGGTTCGTACAGTTCTTTTGCGGAATCACTGCTGGCAACCTTATACTTTTTGTCCCAAGGTCTACTCCAAGCAGTTTTGGCTGCTGGCAGACTTTGTACAAGGGACTCTCGTCATCAATCAGGCCGCTGAGAATTGAATGTTGATTACCATGTCATCCAGTCCTAGCTTTCCCTTGATCCTTCGTGATGAGTGGTATGGCTGAACGTGAACGAGCAGCCAACATAGAAGTCTCAGACTCCTCCCGCAATCTCAGACTCGTAGGTTTTGAGATGTTTTGAGCTTGAACTTGGGCACTTGCAGTCTTGGGCCGAGGAATGCCATGCAACAGCATGACACCCAAATGGTTCTCTCCATTCTCTCCTTCATCGAGGCGTCACAGACGGATTGGAAAAACGGTCACGAAGCGGGATGAAGTGAAGTGGGAGCTGCTTCTGTTCATTCAGTCCGTGCTAGCTGATGGGCAGAGGGATTTCATCCGAGCTCTTAGGATGCTCGTTTGAGAGGCAAACAGACTTGGTCCCTTTTTTTTTTGGTGTTCAAAGAGCGTTGAATCATATAGTATAGTTCGCTTGAAATCACTTGAAAACATATCTCTCTTACTACTTGCCTGAAATGACCCGATGTCCACTGGGCTCGGAACAAAACAGAGAAACTGATCCTGAAGACCTCGTGCTGCTGCACCTTAAAAACTGAGAGGACCCTGCTCCAAGGCAACTGAGAGGACCCTGCTCCAAGGCTTAATTCCTTTTTCAGCCATTCTTCGTATCAGGTCATGTCAAGCTTCTTCCATCATCACGACGTTGCTGTTGTGAAGTCAGCTACAGTAGACGGACGACCCGCGGAAGACGGCCCGCGATCTTTGGGGATGATGACATTCAACACTTTTAACGTCTTTACGACTTGAAATTCGTGGTATATAATTGGAACACGTGAAGATATTGTGATGGCCCTAGTACTTCTGAGAATGGTTCCATGAGCTCGTGAAGTCATGTCGTCAGGACATGACTTGGCTGTTTGCGTGGTTTCCACATAAAACGGTTTGGCTGAATCCTCTTTTTGCCGCGAAAGCGCCAGGGCAAGGCTTTGTCTGCCTCAGAGCGGCAGATCGCTTGCTCTGTCAGCCGGCGGGCCGTGCTGCCCGATCGGGTGCAGCTGCGTGGGTGGTTCGATGTCTTGGCAAAGTCGCTGGTGGAGGCCCGGCTCGTCAGGGACAGAAGACCACACGGCCGCGCGTCTGCAACGTTTTGGTAGAATACCAGTGGCCATCATCTAGTGGCGGTATGCTTTAAACAACGTAGATCGTCAAGGTCCATCGCACAATCTATAGATAGTATCATTTTATCATTGTTCAGATCTGTTCTGCCTGGTGCACCCCGAAGGGAGCTAGAGGAGTGGGTGAGAGTGGTCGGACCTTTCCAATTTCGTCCGACTTGGGGAGAAACAGCTGAAGAAGGGCCTCGAAAAGCGGATTGTCCTTTCATCCCCGATTGATTTTTATTGTAAGGGCTCCGCCCGGGTGCCGCCGACCCCTTTTCATCTCGAGGGTTTGGCGGTTGAACCTTGACAACTTCCTGGGATTCAACAGCGAGACTTGGATGGGCTTCACACCAATGCTGGCATTCAAGCCACAGCGATGTAGAATGCAGGTGGCTAGGAGCTCTGGTAGACTTTGTTTTATAGTATATAAGGATTCTTCAAGGGTCGAGCGCCAAAGAGTTTGATCGTGCTTGGACACGGCATTTGGCGCGACATCTGGTGTGAACCGGAGAGCTTTGCTCAAGCTGCCTTGGTCTCAGCTAGCTGCAGCCTCACGCCAACCTGCTGCTGGTGGGAGGAGGCCAGGAGCCTGTGCTGTAGTCCTGCCTCGGAAAAACCTGCCAGCAATGGATTAGCACACGTTGGCCAGCAGGGCTTAGGTAACAACTTGAGTATGCTGCAGTGTAACAGTGGCTAGAAGAGGGCAAGGCTGCGGTGAGGCTCTGGGGAGCGTTTGAAGCCGAGCCAAAATGCCTAACGTCGCCTTCGGAAGCCCATAAGAAGAGAGGAGGCAGGCTTCGGACAGGCCACAGAGAGGCCGCAACAGGCCTGCCAGCTGCCGAGGAGCGTTTGAAGGCGGTCCAAAATGCCTAACGTTGCCTTCGGAAGCCCATAAGAAGAGAGGAGGCAGGCTTCGGACAGGCCACAGAGAGGCCGCAACAGGCCTGCCAGCTGCCGAGGAGCGTTTGAAGGCGGTCCAAAATGCCTAACGTTGCCTTCGGAAGCCCATAAGAAAAGAGGAGCCAGGCCTGCCAGCTGCCGAGAAGAGGGCAAGGCTGCGGTGAGGCTCTGGGGAGCGTTTGAAGCCGAGCCAAAATGCCTAACGTTGCCTTCGGAAGCCCATAAGAA